AAAATTCATGCTATATGTACAACCAAAAAAAGATTTTGTATTTCCATAAGTGGGGTAAATCTATGGAGTAATTTAAGTGTGGACATAAAAAATAGTAATAGAATTGACGAGTTTAAATATAAATATAAAGGTATGTGTCAATCAAGATATATGCAAGAACAGGCTCAATGATTAATTAGATGGAACATTGTGGGTGTGGTGTATGAATGTTAACACTTTGTAATGATTATTTATTACTTGTGTGGTGTAGGAGATAAGTATTTAAGAATGTAATTATGTACGAATGTTAACACTGTTATAATTTTTTAGTATATTACTTGTGTGGTGTAGAAGAGAATTATTTATGTAGAGATACTGCTTGCAAACCAATGATGGTAAGATGATGTCATGGGGTAGGACTGGATAAGTCTGACTTCTTCCTACTCCATTCAAGCATGTACTAGGTATAAGCAAATTGATATTGGATTAGCATTTGTTGGATATGTGTAAAATTATGTGTGTTGACATATTAACTGTTTTTACATGCTTGAAAGAAAGAATAAATCAAATCAAATCAAACTGGTTAGGGCCGGGCCTGCAGCAACCACCACATTAGCCTCTAATACATTTCATGGTGTTTACGAGATGCCTGCGCTTCAGGAACATCTGCTGGAATTGGCATCGCTTCCTAGATTTCCCGTGGGGGAAGACACAGCAAGTGATTTTGTGTTTATGTGTGTGTACTCATGTACGTGCCAACAGCTTGCTGATATGAGTGATAGCAAAGGACTTGGCACACTCTCCTTTAATGCTGAACTTCTGACCTTTCCTCAGAGGGTGTGGATGACAGGAGGATTGAGCATAGATTCTGCATGGTGTGATATCCTGTAGATGCAGAGTCAAAATCACTTTTCTTGGCAAAAAGCAGATTGTTCTCTTCAAATTCAGTGTTTAATTTGAGTATTTAAGTTCAAATCTGTAAGTGTTTACCTAGTTAACGACATTAAAACTGGAAACATATAATCAGAGTTATGGTCCTGTAAAGTGATTCATGATTGCTCACATGATGAATCAATGAAAAATATAGAATATGGCACAGTAATAAACTATATAAAATGTTAAATAACTGTACAAACATGGATGACCCATCAAATAACTGCGAAAAAAGGCTTGTGTCTTCACTAAGAGTTTTTTACTTGGCAAGCTATTTGACAGATGCACAAAAAAGCACAGAAAGTGAGATAAAGCACTTTGAAAGGTTCTTTTAGAATAATAGAAGATTTTATCCAAGACTGATGAGAGATCATTCCCCTTGGTCCTACTCCTCACTAGACCCAAATTAAACAGTCATGCTTGCAAATCAAAGTGAGGTTGAGGTGGGTGCATCCCCTTGGGTGCACTCAGGTGCGAGACTCTCCACAGAAATGTTACTGAAGTCATAGCAGACAATCCTTTACACATCAGTGCTACAAAAGCACTGATCTTGCTGATGCTGTGCATTTTGACATCTGTGTAAAAATGCATTCAAATGCATTAGATGGAATTTTTTGCAGAAAAGTTAGTCTGCAAGAAAAACATGCTGACATATGACCTCAAAATAACCCAGGTGCCTCATTTGGAGTTAAGCGAACAAGAGGGAAGCAGAATACACCAGATAACACAAACATGCATTTAAATGTCAGAGTGATAGATTGGACCACAGCTTAACATAAGTACTGCTTTGAGTTTCACAACATCTCTATGATCATTATA